CAGAATTGTGTTTTTCCGTCATCTCCGATGTTGCGCCTGAGTTAATTATTAATTCTTATAGTCCAAATTWGCTCCAGAAAATTATTATTATTCRCTTCAGSAAAGTCATCAWGAGTTCATRGTAATTTCAAAAGTAAATATGTCGRCTAAGCAAAATACCATCCTGGACCCTTTAAGAGTGTATAGAAAATAACATTAATCATTGGCGTGCAGCTGTTGACTCAAAACTCGGTCATTTTGAAGGCGATAATAAAGGTTATCGCTATTCATAGAAATTTAAACTCACCCCCCATCGATATTTGGCAAATCAGGCCTACACTATGCTTCAACCCTATTAATGCAAGTCATCAATATCATTCTTAGATACGTTGTAGCCATCTATGTGCCATCAAAGCACTCTATGTATGTTTGTACGTCCTAAGTAAGGGTCTACTTTTTAGGGGTTTGTTTCAGTTTATCAAAATTTCTTTGCCTTTCTGCATTTCCGYCGAACTGCTATCATTTATATTTTCACCTAACGGTTCAATGAGTAATCAATTAGTTTCGYTGTAACAGCTTAMGCACATACATATACATCATCTTTTCTCTTCTTAGTTCCTCTGGCTTTTTGAATAGCATTTATTGCTATGTATATACCCATTTCATTCTATGTATATATACAGGCACTCCGTGCAGGGGCACACAAGCAACTTTGCGACATATTATTTATTTGAAATCATTTTTTGATAGTAGTAGACTAGCTAGAGCTCCATCGAGAGGATACAAGTCAAGGGTTGAGTCTTAGCATTTCCTATGCGCGATGATAGATTCTACCATCTGGGCTCGATGGACAGAACTTCGTTAACAAGGAAGCCAAGGCTCACTAAATTCTGACTGGATAGCAGATGCGGTTGTGAGTTAAATGGGAGAGATGGTATGGTCGCTTCACTACTCCAATAACTCCCATATACAAGTATATATTGACTCAAATGATAACTCCTTTAATTTTTGTAACTAAAAGGAAAATTTTACTTCTCAYTATCTATTTATTTAAATTAGTATGTTTTACCTCGCCAATTTTCAAAATTCATTCCCTTACACTTTCAATTACTTTAAAGTTCCATTTCGTTGCACTACCATAACATTACATTGATTTACAAAATATATTCATATGTATATGTAAGGCCGTTATACGCGTAACCAATATAAGGTACAACAACATGTATATGTATTTGTACCACGATTTCCACATATTTTAACGACAGACGTCAGCTGCGTTGGCATTTCAACCATTTTGCCATCTGCAATGCCAGCGCTGGAAAAACTAAGACATGACCGACAAATGGCTTGGCGAAAGTAAAACATGTTCCACATTTGCTGCCTGCGCTGTTCAACTTACCTTCCACTTATTGCACGTTCCAGTTAACACTGTCTTTCCAGTTTGAATCACAATAGTTTGGAATTACTGTGAAAGGGGCTTTCAAACTGTTGCTGGCATGATGACGAAAGCAACTGTATAACAGTTTAATGCACGAAATCATTCGGCGCGTTAACCCCTGGATGTGCTTGTGGGCTATTTTGTCACTTATAAGGGTGTATACAAAGAATATTAAAAGTAATATTAAAATTATTTTTTGAAGTTGTGAAACTGGATTACAAGTAAAACTAATTTTCAAATTGACTAACTGGGTTATATAGTTAAAACCAATTTTTAAATTGACTCAGATTCTATTTCCAAAATTGTATTCTAAATGATTTAAAAATAAATCTGGGCTACATGGCTTCAAATAATTTTTTTCCTTATKGAATTCTATAACATCTCTTGAAAATTGTCCTAAATACTCAAATCGTATTCATTTAAAACTAAATAGGCATTTTTCCTGAAACTGTGAGTGTGAAACTCAAAGTTGATTGCCAAGGTTTTACGTTAACTCTCAACCTAGCAGCTCTTCGAATTGTAATTTACAAAATATTGAATAAATGCTATYTTTTGTTCAATTACACTATTTAAAAAAGAAATCACGTTTAGAAATTTTCATGAAAATTTTAATTTCTTTGTAAAATTGTCTAAAAAAAATACAATTTTTACGTTTTTCTCGTCTAATACCCATACTTTATAGTTTTAATTAAAACATAAAATGTTTATTTCTGATGATGATGTAAGCAGTTCTATTGTCAACGCTTCCTTATTTCCGAGAGACTGCCAGGACCAATTTTTAAATATTTTCCTTTGAAAATTTTGGAAAGTCTTTCTAAAATATGTATCTTTGGAATAGTGAAAGTTTGAATAAAATATTTAATTTCTATATATAAAATTTGGTAGTAACCACTTAAGTCACTGACATTATATACCAGGTACTTACACAGTTAYCTATTATATATGATATAGAAAATAATGTAAAGATATGTAAAGAGTATAAAGTCTGGAGAATGGTATAGGCTGATTGCGTATATTTTTGGAAATTATCTGTCATATACATATCGTCATCTARCATGCCGAAAAAAATATCATCAAAAAAATCAAAGTTCAGTTTTTTATTACTTATGATTAACCACATAGTATTACATATGTTAATGTAGCATAAAATGTTCAGTTCCGCTGTGAGATATAACCAATATATAACCGTTTTATAACCAAAATTCATTTTTTTTTTTAAATTAGTAGTTTCTATTGTATGGCTTTCCCTTTGCCATAAACTCATGAATAGTTACGTTACATAATATAATTATAACTTTATACTTGTATTTTACACGCTTCGGCTTAGTTTTCCGGCTTCGACTCACCTTTGTCTCAATATTTGGCCAATTGATCATCAGTTTCCTAGTGAAAAGCATAGATCCAAGACTCATCGCCAGTAATAATACACTTCATGACATCCTAGTGGTTAGAAGTCTTGTTTCACAGACGTTAACGTCAAATTTTGTGATTTTGGAAAGAATAGTAACAGAGATTTGATTTCGCACAAAATTTAATGGAAATTCTTCATTGAATAATTKCATTCTACGTAAAATCGTCGAAAAAGCACTTTATGTACTTTAGAAAGACAATCATTTATGTACTAATAACTAATGACTATTTTGATGTGAGATTTGGCACAGATGTCATTGACAGTCATACCAATCTAAAAAAAATGTTTCGATGCAAACGTGTGCCTCGATTTCGACAAATTTTAGACTTGAATTAGACTCAGTGGGAAACACGATATGTACCAAGTTTTATTTCATTATTCATTCACTGCTCACTGTAAAGTCAAGGAATCAGATGGAATTTAAAATTATGACAGACGGAAAGTAGGCGTGGTTGTGACACTCTGACACAAGGATAGCAACATGTTTAAGCAGTATTAAAATAAATTTAATTTAAATTAGCCGAGTAGTTCCCAATACATACATAGTATTTCATATATTCCACTTAAAGGTGGACRGTGCCAGAATTATTGCATAATTTGGATATCGGCTCTCATGAAGAACTTTCGTACAATCTTGAGTATAAAATTAAGTGTCTAATTATTACCATTATATTTGGCACATTTTTGGTAGTTTTCAWAGTAACCGTTATAYAGACAGTGGGCGTGGTTATCTTCTAATTATAGTCATTTTCACAGTTTATGCGAAGTAGCTATAAAGATTTGTTTTAAGCAAGCTTAGTCGATTTGCATTTAGTGTTTTACGAATTCGGTGCCGGAAATTGTTAAAGGGTGCGGCTATTCCCACTTTTTTCCTAATTTTAAAACGTCGTCCATACTAAAGTCGTTTGTAGCGAATTACTTTTATAACAAATTTGGAGCTAAGTTAGAGCAGTGCAAAATTTTTCGAGTAACGGTATTTGATGGATGTGGTTATAATTTCATATAGCCCGAAACTTGCTGTTTCCTTTATCACTCTCCTAATTTTATGTTCAGTTTACTTAAGCAACTCAATCTAACTGTGCTTGAAAGCACCGCTAAATATTATAAATACTGAAAAATAAAATAATAATAATMTARTTTAACATTTGGTATTTATTGATAAGTTAGCATATGTATATTTACAATTTACATTCGATTTTGTTATATTACTATTTACTTTGAAATATAGTTTTCTTTAATCTATGCGCATGCSTCAATAACTATAAATAATACAATTTCAAACATTTTTACTAATACGTCAATACAATTTAATATAATTTAAATAACATTTTGGCTAATTTTCTTGAAATTCCAACCGTTTGACTTACATAATGCAGCGAAAGCCAGCTTTGAAATTTACAACAACTACAAATTACAGCGTAGTAGAAACAAGTATTTCGGAATAAAAAAATATGTTCAAGTTAAAACAACAATTTAAGTAACATTTAAAGCAATTGAATTTCTAAATAAAATTTTCTTAATGTCAAAATTTCCCTTTTCCCGCTCTACTTCACATTTTCGTTTCAACTTTGTGTAACTTGCAACCTGGCAAATCGACAAAATTTCGCGCGCCACGACATTTCGTTTTCGTTTCGATAATAAAAAAAAAAGACTGCACACGCACACACATACACATACTTGTGTACATATGTATGTATGTAACTGCTTATGCAAGATAAAGTCTGATTGAAATTGCATAACTTTTGCTTAAGTAACCGAATCTTACGAACAAAAGTCAATTTAAAGTGTTTCAGTGTTTTATCGCCTCTCTCTTCTGCTTGTGATTATCTCTACCTCCACGTCACCGCGAAACGGTCATTGCACTAGATTTGCTTTTTATGCCGGCAGCGCTGAGACGACGCCACTCAATTCCAGCATTCACTGCTGGTGCCGTAAAGCAAATTGTCCAATTTCTGCTTTGCCGTTACCTCGACGGGCGCACCGTGTCCCGGCCGACCCCAGAAGGTGTCGAAGGTTTCGAAGTGTTTGCTGCAGAGTTCGCGCTCGTTTTGCTGCTCCGCGCACGTCGTCTGTCGCTTTACGGACATCTGTGTATTCAAGTCGTGCAGATAGCGAATGTCTTGTGCGGTGGCAAGTCTGCTCACACACACATACGTACACACAGCGAGGCACGTGACGGCGTGGCAGCGATGTTGGCCAAAAAGGAAGTCATCGKAAATCGATTGAGTTCATTCGTATCGTTGTGTTGTTGTTTTTAGTGTTGTTGGTAGTTATTTGGTGTTGGTTTGGCGTTTTTGGCAGTTGGCGATTGGGGATTGGCGAGTACAGAGAAGACGGTATATACATATGTAGTTTGCATCAGTGATTTGGCTGTGTCTAGCTTTTATTTTTGTTTTTTTTTTGTTGCATTCTTTGCTTTGTTTTTGCATTTTTTTGTTTGCTTTTGCTTTGAATTTCTAATTTTAGTTGCTACCATTTTGAATTTTCATTGCAGCTAAATTAATTGTTCTATATTATTTTATACTTTCACATTGATTACAATTGAAATTGTTCTGTTTTGTTTTTGTTGTTGTAATTTYACGAAAAATTAAACAAATGAAAAAACAAACCAATAAGCAATACGCAAGTTTTGAATATTTATAAAAAATTCATAAGTCAAATTTTCTGTGTGCAAATATTTGGTTATGTGTTGACTAGATGAGTGGGGTCTATATATTTTATGTATATGTATAATGATATGTGTATATAGTATATATAAAAGTGATGGATTGTTGTTGAAGTATGATATAACTGATGTCTTATTATAATGACTAGAATATTGTTACTTTTTACTTTCCCATATTGCTAGAAAAGCTTTAAAAAGCTTAGCAAGCCAAAATCTCTACTATTAGTAATTATAAAATTATTCATTGTCAAAAGTCTGCGACAATGTAATAGAATTCCCAATTTTTTGTTACTATATATTTAGACGGCCATTAATTATTTTGCGTGAAAAGCTCTAAAAAAGCTTTGGGAGGCAAAAGCGTTTTCTTATTTATGACACAAGCGCGATCGAAGTGAATCATAAGCCT